ACCCGAGAAATTCTCTCTCAAAAGCATCCTGGGAGACCTGCGGTCAGGGAAGAAGCCATCACCATGTGACTGTGTCTCTTTGTCTGCCATTCTGCCGGAGGCGTGGTGCTTGCTAGGTCCCGCTCTGTCATTTGGGCCATCTCACCACACCTCTGCAGCTCTCCCATCGCCTGGGACCTGGGCATGAGCAGGTGGAGCCCCTGGCAGCCGGGAGGAAATTATTTTACAATTCTACTATTATTTCCTGGCTTCGCAATCCTCTTAAACAGCGTGGCCTCTAGAGTTAACAGCTGGCCGACCACCAAGAAGCCACAGTAATTCAAATCACGTCCTCCCCGTTCACATGGCTGCCCATGGAATGGTTCTGCAAGGAAGGATACAGTTTTCTCGACCCTGGGAGGGTCCCTAGATGAGTCTGAAAATTAAACTGACAAGGACAAGGACGGATTCACATCTGCCTTTCATTTTTGAGTTATACTCCAGCACACACGTTAGTAGATTCTGTTTTGGAGGACAGCTGTGGTACAGAGAAAGGCATACACTGAATTTTTGCATGGACGGGGGAGCCTTCCCAAGAGAATGAAGACCCAAAGGAGTGACAAGAGCAGGAGCCTTTTATACCTTTTAGACAAAGAACCAGTAAGTTTGTGAAGAATCGATAAGACAAAAGGGTTTGGGCTAGAGGTAGCAAATGGTGAAGAAGTAACTAGGAAGGTAAGAATGAGTTTGACAAGGTTTGTATGGATTTCTTGGCCCCCAATTCCCTGTCTCTACTGATAAAAATGTCTTCCCTCTGGGGCGCCTGGGTGGCGCAGTCGGTTAGGCATCCGACTTCAGCCAGGTCACGATCTCGCGGTCCGGGAGTTCGAGCCCCGCGTCAGGCTCTGGGCTGATGGCTCGGAGCCTGGAGCCTGTTTCCGATTCTGTGTCTCCCTCTCTCTCTGCCCCTCCCCCGTTCGTGCTCTGTCTCTCTCTGTCCCAAAAATAAATAAACGTTGAAAAAAAAAAATTAAAAAAAAAAAAATGTCTTCCCTCGCCCTGGCACCAGAAATATACCCTTCACACAGAAGTTTTATGACCTGTTACAGGGAAGAAAGGAGAGGAGGGTTGAGATGTGGGGCTCAGACCTTCAATAGAATAACAAATTCTGGTGGATCCTAACAATGAAACACTAAAAAAACAAAACCAAAAACAAAAACTGGTCGGCAATAAAAGGAATGAACTATCGACATACCAGAGGACACAGATGCTTCTCAAGATAATTATGTGTAGTGAAAGAAGCCAGATACAAAAGAGTACGTGCTCTGTGATCTCATTTATATAAAACTCTAGAAACCATGAACTAGTCTCCGGTGATAGAAGGCCGTTGGGTTACCGTGTGAGGATCAGTGGGCAGAGAGAGGCAGGAAGGCCGGGCTGCAAAGGGGACACAGGAAATTGTTTGAGGGTGATAGATACGTTCATCTTGATAATGGTGATGGCTTCACGGGTGTGTGTATGCATCAAAGCAAACCAAATTGGACACTTTACGTGTAGAGTTCACTGTGTGTCAGTTACACCTACGCAAAGCTGTTAAATGTACATATATATGCACACACACAAACACACACACATTATGTGAAAAATAAAGCGAGATAAGAAAGGTAGGACATGCTGGGGGCAGACAGTGCTATTGGTGGCTGGGTCAGAGAAGGTCTTAGTGCTCAGGGGAGTTGGAGCAGACATGAGAACTAACCATGGGGCCGTGTGGGGAGAGAACATTCCACGTAGAAGGAAGACAAAGTGCAAGGCCATGTGCGAGCAAGCTGCTAGACCTGGCTCATGTCTCTGAGTTCGGAAATGGCTCAGAAATGAGTTAAGGCATCAAGATCTGGACAAAAGAATTGCCCCAAGGTTCACATACAGTTTTGCACCTGCCCTGACCACCCAGGTAGAGCCCATGTCTTTAGCCTGAGCCTGGCTTCTTCTTCTTTTTTTTTTTTAATTTGAGAGAGAGAGAGAGAGAACGTGAGTGCACAAGTAGGGAGAGGAGTAGAGGGAGGGAGGGAGAGAGAGAGAGGGAAAGGGAGAGAGAGAGTCTTAAGCAGAGTCCATGTTCAGCAGGGATCACAACGCGGGGCTCAAACCCATGATCCTGGGACCATGACCTGAGCCAAAATCAAGGGTCAGATGCTCAACCGACTGAGCCACCCAGGCCTCCCAAGCCTGGCTTCTTAACATCAGCTCAGGAATCTGCACCAAGATTCTCATTCAAGAACTCAGAGATCTGTTTGACCCCATCTTCTCTGAAATGGGCAGGCAGCCTGATTCTACTTGCAAATTCATGACCAAGAATGACTTGTGTCTAACAAAGTACAGACCTCAGAGTAGAAAGAATAAACACTAAGCATCTGCTAAGTTCCAGGCACTGTTCTAAAAGCCTAATGTGTATTATCTCATTTAATCTTGACCCAACCCAGCAAGGTAGATACTATTAGTATTCCTATTTCACACGTCTAGCAACTGAGGCAGACAGAAGATAAGCAACATGCCCAATTAAGAGGCAGGGCCAAGACTTGACCCCAGGCAGTAACCCTTGAGCCATCCCTCATAAATACCCACATGTGGCCTCACAGAGTGTTGCAAATCCCTGACTCTTACTCAGTAGCCCCATATCTGCCTCCACTGGCCTGGTCTAGGCCTGTCCCCGTACATGGCTACGATGACTTCCACATTTAGGGAAATCTATGGACTGAGCTGTGTCCCCCTAACATGTCTATGTCGAAGCCCTAACTCCCAATGTGATGGTATTTGCAGATGTGGCCTTTGGGACGCAGTCAGGGTTAGATGAGGCCATGGGAATAGGACCCTCGTGGTGGGATTAGTGCCCTTATGAGAAGACACAGCAGAAAGCTTGCTCACCATATGTAGAGACACAGCAAGACGGCAGCTGTATGCCAGCCTGGAAGAGGGTTCTCCTCAGAACCCCCCATGCTGGTATCTTTATCTCAGACTCCAGCCTCTGGAACTGTGAGAAATGAATTTCTGTTGGGTAAGCCCCCCAGCGTGTGGAATTTCTGAGCTGACTAACGCAGGCAGGGTCAGGTGGACCAGGCCGGGTCCAACCCCCTCTCACAGGTCCAGCTCATTCTTGGGTTCATCTGGGGCTCAGGTGTGGCCTGGAGGAGGTACTCAGGTTGGCCTTCCCACCCATATGAGGGGGGCTCGGGCTGAGGTCTGGGCTGAGAGTTTGAGATGCTGGGACTGGACCAACCTTGCAGGACTCAGAAGAAGGGAGAGGGCAATCCAGGCAGTTCAGAAGCGATTAGAGTCTGGAGGCAGGCAGAGAGGAGGTTCGGGGTCCAAGTAGCCCAGAGAACTAAGAGCAAGACGAGGAGGGCGGGTGGAGGCAGAGGCAAGAGAAGCCCCCAGGTGTGATGGGGCAAAGGTGGAAGTAAATTTCATGGAAGCCCTTGGCTAAGTGCACGAGAGGCGGAAAATAGGGGTGTGCTGGCCAAGACAAAGACACATGTTCCCAAACCAAACTTTGTTCTTAGTGCCTCCCCACCCCCACTCCCAACCCCCTGCCCTGCACCTCTCCCTTCAGAGGTGGAGCAAAGCCCATGCCAGGACTCACAGGGCCTGACTGGTTCCCCCTTTTCCCTCAAGGAGCTGTCTGCCCTTGCCAAGTACCTTCTTCACGATGTCCCCCTTTAAAGAGGGCGTCGGTCAAATGATTGCTAATACTAACGCCGTGATTTTTCCATCAGCGAGACTCCCCATCGCGTCGATCATCAGAAGCGTTGGGTCACGACTCTGATTACAAATTAAGACGGAACCCCAGTTGGCCCAAAACTCCCCTAGTGTTACTGGTCTGCTCTAAATCCTCAGAAGGTGTTGATGGAGTGGCATTTACAAAGATATTTAGCACATGTCCAACTTCCAGTGATGAGTGCACCTTTCGCTGCCCTGACGTCTTGGGAGGGGCTCTTGGATCAATCTGTCACCTGCTCCCAAACTAGCATTGATTTGCCCCGGGAGCCAGCACCGTGGGGGGAAGCAATGGCCCAAATCCAGCCCCCAGGAAAAGATGAGCGTCCCACAGTGTGGCTCCCATAACCATGCACACACTTACCTAACCAAAGTCAAAACCAGAATGTCAGGACAGGCTGTGGATTCTCAGCACGGAACTATCACCCTGGGGACTGAATGGGAGTTTCTCATCAGACCCTCAGGACTCATTCAAGAAATGCTCCAGGCGAGGTCTGAGGAATCAGTGGAATGCTGAATTCATTCAAGAAGAATGCCATCTGGGCTCCGTGCTGGGAACACAGAGGCCTTCGCGGTGCCGAAAGTTCTCCCAGTCACCCTTAAGACTTATTACACCTACTTAAGCTCGAGGGAACACGAAGTTCACAAAATGCTTTCCTACCTCGGATAAAATGCCTTTTCTGTCTTAGCCAAGACATAACAAGATTCAGTCATCTTTATTTCTACCCCATGGTTCCTTGATGAAACACGTTAATTATATTTTATCCTCCGAGAGGGAAATAGCGGGGGGGCGGGGCTATTATGCCAAACTCTGCTATCCTTCTTACCTCCAAGTTGCCCTATTTTTTTTTTTAAATCAGTTCCAAAATTAAGTTCATTGTGGGGCTATGTTCAAATTGCATAAAATAACTATTATTTACAGACTATTCTAAATTCTTTGCACGTGTTGGTTTCCTCCCCATACCAATCCTATGAAGCAGGTACTATCGTTATCCCCATTTTGCAGATGAGAAAACTGAGGCTCAGAGAGGCTAAGTAACTTGCCCCAGATGGTACAGTTTGTAAGATCTGGGATTTAAATCCAGACAACTTGGCTTCAGATCCTTGCTCTCCATGGTGCAAATAACCTCCTGTCCTTTGTGAGCAAAGTTGATGGTGACAATTCTACTGTTAACAGGATATGTGCCTTGAAGCGTTTCTTTCGGGAATAGAGATATTTTTAACTGATTTTCCTATTCTTATTTGCCCAGACTCTTTCTCGACCAACAATGCATGTGTTTTAGATGTTTGGCAAGGAGCTTGGTTTTCCCTGGGTGATCGTGTACAGAAAGAGGGTGATGACCTCCAGGAACCAAAGTCTTTGGCTCAGACAACAAGCACGTATTGACAACTCTTTCTACACACCAGAGACGCTTCGGGAATATAACACAGTGTCCCAGCGCTCCTGGGGGCTGTCCACCTAGACACGAGGAATAACTAAAAAGGCTAAGACATCATTAAAGTCACAGATTCCACCATCTAAAAAAAACCATCCAAACAGGGTTTCGGGTATAAACATGTATGAGAAAAACAGCTTCAACTTCTCCGTGTGGGTCGCTGCTCACCTGTTAAATGTCCACGTCTTTCCTATCTTTGAAAATCCACCACTGATTCGAACACTTTTCAAAACCATTCATACAAAACGATCCCGGCTCTAAATACAGCTACTACAAGCTAGGGCAGAGTGGTTCTTTCAGAGTGATTCCGGAACCATGCTGCTTGCAGGGAGCGGGCAGGAAAATGATATTAATTACTAACTAGTTAGCATTTGTTACAAGCCTAACACGCACGTTGCTGACCATTCTGCGTGAAGAATCTCACTTAAACCGTCCCCCGAAATCATTTTATGAAGACACCACAGCACAGAGAAGTTCACGGACTCGCTCGAGGCCACACAGCTAATACGTCGCAGGGCACGACAACCGCAGAAATGTGGGCCTGGAGGAAGAACCTGGAGAAGTGTGTCGTCATTGACAAGCACGTGAGGCTGCGGGGATCAGAAATAACAGAAATCCCGGTCCCTGCTGCCCCTACGAGCTGACCTGCCAACGAAGAAGGGAGGACAGAAGCGAGGCCGAAGGCACTAGCTTCACACAGCCAATATCGACCAGATGGTGAGCAAAGAGTCCTGTCCTCACGGAGCTTTGTCCAGTCAGGACACAGACAGAAGCCAAATGAAAGCTTAATGGGCAGGGAAACAACATTGCGTTAGTGCTGACCGCGGCCTCAAAGAAGGCCTCTGGGAAAGTTCCTCTGGGGTGGAAACAGCAGGGAGAGAGTGACCTACTCCAGAAAAGAGCAGCTGTTTTCAGGAGTCAGGGCTTTGTCCCCGAAGCTCCCGGGCATCTGAGTGCTGTGCTGTCCCCTGCAGGGAAGGGACCAGTGGGCCTGGAGAACCACAGTGGGAGAGGGGCCGAGTCCTTTGTGGTGGGGAGGGCAACGTTTAGCAACGTAGCAATGTCCAACGTTTAGCAGCATCCTTAACCTCTACTCAGTAGCACCCCTTCCAGCTGTGACAGTCAAAAATATCTCCACACATTGCCAAATGTCCCCTGGGGGTAAAACACAAGTGACCCAGGAAACCTTCATATCGATTTTTCCATCAAAATCTCGAATAATCGATATCCGGTTTGAGGCATAATTGGAAAAATCTTCCTTGCCTCCTTGCCCCCTTGCCTCCCAGGCCGCCCAGGTGAACTCAGCTGGTATTTTGGGAGCCAGGGCTACGTTATCACAGAAGTCAAGGTCGGCAAATGGCAACAACAAAAATTTATTGTTTCACAGTTCTGGAGCCTGGAAGTCCAAAATCAAGGTGTGGGCAAGGCCATGCTCCCTCTGAAGGCTCTAAGGAAGATTCGCCTCGCCCCCTCCTAAGCTTCTGGTGGCCGTGGTGGTGGCGGTGGGCAGTCCTCACATTTCCTGGCTCGCGGCCGAATCACTGCGGTCTCTGCCTGTCTTCCCACAGCTATTTCCCCCCTGTCTGTGTCTGTTTTCTCCTTTTTATAAGAACACCAGTCATGGTATTAAACCCCACATTAATCCATGGTGATGTCACCTTAATTCAAATGACTACAGCTAAAGACATCGTATTTCCAAATAAGGTCACATTCTGATGTTCCAGGTGAACATGAATTTGCAGGGGAGGGGTGGGGGCGAGGGGGGGACGCTATTAAACCCATACACATCATGAGCAGATTGGCTCATGGTGACTGTGCAGTTCTCCTGGCCATCGTCCCCACCACCAGGTCATCTGTAGGGGTGAGCTGAGGAGGGCAGCCCCCCCCCTCCATCCACACTTGCCTGCCCAGTCCACCCACCCTCCCTCCTGCCTCTCTGGTAATCTGTGCTCTCTCAGCACAGCGGGACTTGATCATGACCATGGAGAGGCCTCCTTGCCGTGGAGAGGAGTGTCTCGCCCTAGGTGTGGGTTCCTGGACAGATTTTTATCTGTTGTTCACCTGTCTTTCTTTGAACCGTGCTCCTGACAGACCACAATTCCTCTTTTGTATACACACTCCTTCCAACTTGCTTTCTCTGAGGTAGAAAACATCCATTTGCATTTCCTCCCCACCCCCACGTCTTTTGGAAAAACAAAAAAACCAAAAAAACGTTTTCACGGCACAGCGCCAATCATGCTGTTATTGATGTCTCTGTCCCCTGGAATGCTTTCCCCGCTTTCCATTCCCCTGCCTGCCAAGCACACTTGACCTGTGGTATGTAAAGGTCACAACAGCACTGATCAATCTCCTCCAAGTGTTCTCACTTGTCCAAAGTACACGGTGTTACAAGATTAGAGGGGTATGAGAGGAGAACACGGGAGGACCCAGAGGCACTCTTGCCCGGTTGAGGAAAGGGGGAAGATCAGTAGGCCGATTAATTAGCTCCTGGCCACAAAGCAGAAATGCAGATCAGGGTTACCATCCCAGAAAAAAAAAACAAAAACAAAAACGTGGGAAACACAGGAACAAGAGCTTTTCAGTACCTAAGAGTGCAGATTTAATGACCCAAAGACTAAACTCAGGTAGATGTTTAAAAAGTACTTTCCTTTGGGGAACTATGAGTTAATCTGGTGGCTTCTGGTGACCTCATAATGGCAAGAAAATTTGAGACCAGCATTATAACTAACAACCCACTTTAAATCTTTGAAGGGCGTTTGCACAAAGTAACATTCATTTTCCTAACCGGCACTTAACATACTGATAGAAGTCAAACTGCTTTGCAGGTGAATGTTTTAGGATGTAAGGAATTTTTCATCCTGGGCAATTACATTGGAATCATCTGGGGTCCAGACTGCGTTAGTCAAAGTTGAAGGCCAAGCATTAGGGGGTTTTAAAAATTCCCTAGGTCATGTTAATGGGCAGCTATGGCCCAGAACTGCTGTAAAAAGTTAGAACGTTCAAAGCTCATTTACTACTAAACACAAAAATGCAACCACATCTGTTAGTGCATGGCCTCACTAAAATTCCTTATACCAGGACCGAATGCTTTTCCCAGTTGGAGGGTTACTTTTCCAAATGGCAGAATAGGAGTCTGGAAAGAATACATTCTGTCATCTCAAGTCTTGATTTGTTCCAGCCCCGCTGGACTTCTGCGAAGAGAATGAGGACTCCCTTCCCCGTCCACAGCTCAAGTTCTCTTCCTAAATTTCTCTTCCCATTTTAACCGGCCTGCCTGCCCCGGGGTGTCATCTTGGCCTTCTCATCCCTCCATCCCTTAACTCCCTTACCCTACAAACACAGGTTTTCCCTACATTTCTGGTCCTGTAGAAATAGCAAATAACAAACCACAATTCTTAAATGGCATTCCATAAGTAAAAGAATATTCATTAAGCCTCTCTTCTGGCTAAAAACGTGGGTATAATATTTTAGCTTAGTGCGAGACTAAAATTAATCAATCAAGAAATACGGATTGAATGTTCAGGGGGACAATGGCAAGAGTGGAAAACGTACAAAGAAGTAGGTAGCATGTAGATACTCAAGGATCTTACCATTTAGAACAGGGATTGGCAAACTATGGCCCACAGACCAAATCTGGCCCCCTACTTGTTCCTGTAATTAAAGTTTTATTGGAACACAGCCATACCCCTCCCCCCCCTCCCCCGCACACACACAAAAAAACCATATTGTCTGTGGCTGCTTTTATACTATGATGGCAGAGCTGAGTATCTGTGAGAGAGACCATCAGGCCTTCAAAGCCTACAATATTTACTACCTGGCCCTTTATAGAAAAAGTTTGCCGGGCGCCTGGGTGGCTCAGTCAGTTAAGCATCCAACTTCAGCTTAGGTCATGATCTTGCAGTCTGTGAGTTCAAGCCCCGCATCGGGCTCTGTGCTGACAGCTCAGAGCCTGGAGCCTGCTTCAGATTCTGGGTTTCCCTCTCTCTCTGCCCCTTCCCTGCTCACACACTGTCTCTCTCTCCCTCGAAAATAAATAAACATAAAAAATAATCAGAAAAAGTTCGCCAATGCTGATCTAAATTAACAACACATATATGTATGGTATATATACAACATCTCTCCACTCATCCTCCTAACAAATATTTATGGTGCACTGTACCACTCCTTAGGGGATACACTAGTGTGAGACAGAGAAGTCTCCCGCACCTTGGAGGCCCAAATCTACCGAACTGTCAATCCTGAGCAATAAATAAACACCAAAGGGGGGCCTGTGCAAAAGAGAAGAGAATGTCTGAGGCTAGACAGAGCCATGGGTAGCTAGAATTACTGTGAACCGTAGAGATGGATTCTAAGTGGAACGGGATGAAGAGGGGGGAGGGGAAGGCCTTGGCAACACTGGAAGTGGACTTGAGGTTTGATGAGGGCATACACAACGTTTATGCTGTTCATCTCTACTCCCAGCATTATGCAAAATGGCTGCCACTACAGTTGCTTGATGAATAATGTTTAAAGAATTACATGGCAGGGGCGCCTGGGTGGCTCAGTCGGTTGAGCGGCCGACTTCGGCTCAGGTCATGATCTCACGGTCCGTGAGTTCGAGCCCCGCGTCGGGCTCTGTGCTGACAGCTCGGAGCCTGGAACCTGTTTCGGATTCTGTGTCTCCCTCTCTCTGACCCTCCCCCATTCACGCTCTGTCTCTCTCTGTCTCAAAAATAAATAACCATTAAAAAAAATTAAAAAAAAAAAAAAAAGAATTACACGGTAGATGAATAAACGAGCATCTTGAATACCAGGTTAGCTATTCTGTAAGACAGCTGAGTCAAGGATTTCCAACGTGATAAAGTGATCTCTGGGAATACTTTGAAACAAAAGAGTGGATACGAAGATAAGGAAGCGAGTGTTTATTGAATAACTACTACACAGCAAGAACTTGACGAGCATAAAATCATTTAATTCTCTCAGCACTCCTTTTATTTTGCAGATCAACAAATTTAGTTTGGGAGAGGTTAAATAACTGGCTAAGGTCACACAGACAGAAAACAGTAGAGTCAGAATTCAAACCCAAGTCTATCAGCACATGCGCATGCCTCCCAGTCACGTTCACACCACGCTCTGCAGACCTTGGACTCCTCACAGTCCCCATAAGGAACACTGTGACCAATTCAGTAACAACTGGGGATCAAGAGCAAAGACTCTCCACCCACCGT